AGAGTTCACAACTCTCACTCCAAAAAAGTTTGCCCTCACGGTTTTCTGGACTTGCGGCTTCTTCAATCTTGAGCTGTGACCCCTTGTGGGGCGAGCGTCCGCCAGCTCCAAGTAAGGACACTCGACTGAGTAGTGCCTCTTGAGATGCTTACTGTATGCACCTCAATTAGGTCACCCCTTGCCCGTCTGTAGTATAAGCTAGGCAAGTTCAGGCGCTCGAATCTCTCAGGGTAGCTCAGGTGCTGAAGTGCAGGCACCAGTCTGGTGGCCCTCCTTTGAACATTTTCAACCAACTGACAGTCCCTAGCATATCTCGGGGACCAGACGGGGTGACAGTACTCCAGATGGGGAAGCACTTCACTCTTGAAGATCGTAACAAGGGACGGACCGTCTAGATGTCTGAACGACCTTCTTATAAGACCCATTTATTTATTTGCCTGATTTACCTTCTTCTCGCAATGGCCTGAAAACTTCACCTCATTGTCAACATACACACCTAGGCCCTTCTCACATTCAGTCTCAAATAGTGCAGTTTCTTCATCCCGTTGGGACATATGATACGCCTCCTTACCGTTGGTACACCCCAGGTGCATCCTCTTACACTTCGTGACATTGAATCTCAGCAGCCATTTCTTCGACCATTGTTGGAGCCCACAGAGGTCCTTCTGCAGCTCTTCACAGTTTGCTTGGTTCTTGATTTCCCGAAATAACTTGGCATCATCTGCACACATTTGTACGGAGGAGTGTACAACGTCAGGCATGTCATTTATGAAACAAAGAAACAACAGCGAGCCCAATACACTGCCCTGTGGTACCCCGCTTGTGACAGGTATGGATGATGATTTCATGCCATTAATCACCACACACTACTTGCGGTCATGTAGAAAGTCTTCTATCCAAGCTAGGACATTTCCCCGAATTCCGTACCCTTCCAGTTTGATTTGCAGCCTTTCGTGTAGGGTACACTGTCGAAAGCCTTGGCAAAATCTAGGTAAATATTGTCGATATTACCACCCCGTTCCCGAATATGGGTCCAAATATCGAATACCTTGAGCAATTGTGTTAAGCTGGAGCGCCCTGGCATAAAACCGTGTTGGCAATCCTTTACAAGGTTGTTTCGTAGTAGATGTTCCATTGTGGCATCTCTGATAATACTCTCAAGTACTTTACATATTATGCTGGTCAGGCTCACCGGTCTATAGTTGTTCGTGGAGTGACGATCGCCCTTCTTGAAGATAGGACTGACATTAACCACTTTCCATTCACTGGGGATTTTTTGTTCATCCAGGCATTTACAAAACAGGATCTTCAGGGGCTCGGCAAGCTCGTTGCACAACTCTCTTAGCACTCTAGGATGCACCATGTCAGGGCCGGGACTCTTATGGACCTTTAGCCTGGACAGTTTATTTCTAATACCCTCTTCTGTATCGAACCGTCTGTCCTCAAACGCAGGAAGGTTAACTGCATCTTCTCTTGTGAACACCGAGGAAAAGAAGCTGTTCAATGCCTCAGCTTTATCCTGGTCAGAATCTGCGTAACTACCATCATAAAGCCTCAGGTCTGATACCCCTACTCGCGTTTTTAATTTTGACTTTGCATAGTGGTAAAAAGCCTTTGGGTTTGACTTGACCGCGCTTGCGACCAGCCTCTGGAATTCCTTTTCAGCCCTTTTACACTCTATCTTTGCTTGGTTTCTGGCTTTTGCATACATCCTCCTGTCCTGCTCATCATTTGACCCAACACACGTCTTGAATTTCTGGGTTTTCTTCTTAAGTCTGTCGACCGCCGCGTGGTTCATGTGTAGGGATCCCCTAGTATTCCTAGAGGCACTGGGTTTGGTCTTGGGTATATATTTATCGATCAAATGGGTCACTTTACTAGTTATGATATTCAGCGTAGTGTCTGCGTTCTTGTGCCTTAATGAGTTAGGCCAGTTGATACCTCTCATCTCTTCCCTCCTCCCGTTGTAATTTCCCTTGTAATATTTGCACCTTGGCCTAGCCTTATCCTGAACTAGGTAAGTTAAATCTGAATGACAACACTATATGGTGACTGGTGCCAACTGGGGCAAGGTGTTCCAGTTTGGCCACCATACCCTCCTCGTTTGTTTTGATGAGGTCTAGTGGCTTGGGTGTTTGCTCCCTCTGTAATGTGTCGGGTCTCTAACATGTTGGAACAGAAAATTATCTCTCAGAGTTTCTACAAAAAGAGTAGCAGGGTTATTCAAGTCATTTGGGGTGAACTCGTTTCTCCAGTCGATGTCGCCATAGTTAAAGTCACCCATGATAAGGAGGTGGCTAGGGTTGAGCATCACCACATTGTCTATTAAGTTCCTTTGATTTAGTGGGCCACAGTTCGGGGATCTGTAGATACACCCGACGATAAATAAGTCCCCTCCCTTTAATTTAATTTTACACCACTTGGACTCTTCAAAAACATTAATCTGTTCCAAGTCCATGAAGACTATTGCTTTGACTGAAGCATGTATCATCTTTATTCTTTTGTACATATAGAATCACATTACTGTATATATCACTTCTTATAGAAACTCTTACACACTTATGTACTTTATAAGCGAAACTAATATTTCTATGAATAGCAAAGAATTTAACTTACATGCAAAGCTTATACAGTACACAGTATTTAATGTAATTTGTCTGTGCAATTTTTACTTTTTAATTACAATACAGTATGTGTAATAAAACTCACTAAGTAATTTTATGTAACAATATCTTGCATACTTATGATCATCCCATCAGCTGTATTAAAAACAAAGGAATGTCTTAGGCAAGATTGGCTTTAAAAGATCCATATGCATAGACAATATTTCAGTATACAGTACAGTTAACTAAGCCTAGTAAAACCATGATGTTCATATATTTGCTTGTGATTCCCTACAGCTTTGCCTACAATCATTCCATTTCTTGACAAACATTGATGAGGATACGATGTTAATTATAGATTTCTAAATACCTGTACAGTAGTACCTCGATACACCGGACTAATTGGGCAGATCCTAGTCCGGAGAAAGCGAGAGTCCGAAAAATGTGATCTAAGGGGGAAGGAGGGGGGACATAATTCTACTTATCTGGACTGCTTCAAGAAATCAGACGTAAGTCTGGTTGTCAACAACTGTTTTGTACTGTCAAGTGTTATATGTAAGTACTGGTAACTACAGAATTTGTGAAAAAGTAATTTTAATGTGCTCGGTGCCTTAAGTACAAAGAAAAAATTGGGTGTTGAGTGTACCAGGAAGTAGCAGCGGGAGGTAGCACAGGTGGATGGATCCCTCCCCTTCCCTCCCTCAGGACTACTTTAACATATCTTTATGCAATTTCACTACAGTATACTGTAATTCCTATACATACTGTACTGTTCTCTGTATTTTTAGGTTCATTTGGTGCTGGGTTGATACAACAATATCATAATATAATCAACTTTCCCGAAAAATAATCTCACACTCAACCGCAGATGAGTCATTACAGTACTAATGGTCAGAAGGGGGAGCATCCTCAGCCATGCTGGGTTGATATGGTGAGGCTTGAGGGCAGCCACGTGTGACGCAGGCAGTGTCTATGCAAATGGCAGCTGTATTAAACTTTCATTTTACCTTTCTTAATGGTTTTAATTGAATATTTTCATCTACCCGGTACAGGTACATGTTATTTTATTAATGTCTTTAATGTGTTAGGTAGTAAATATATCATTAATTAGGTAAGTTTTTTGTTGTTCATGAACTGATTTCATATTTTCTGGGTATAATATTGGAGATTTCTTGTCATTGGGGAAGCGAACCCTATTTTCTGATATGTTCTTTTATTCACTCAACGAAAATTCATTTAACGAATTGTTTTCAGGAACCTAACCCACTCGTATAGCGAGGGACACCTATATTATTCACGCATACAATATTTGCAAGATTGCATGATATAAAACTTGTACAGAACTGTAATGGCATTATGCATGGAACTGATAAAGAAATAATTATAAAAAATGTGTAATCTTCAGCTCAAGGGTAAAACAAGATATGCACACTGAGCACTGGTGGCCCGCTAAATTTGTTTTGCTCTCTTTCCTAATACATAATCTTAAAAAATGAGCCCCTAACAGAACCAAATACCTGTAGCATGTTATTTCCATGTAATACAATATTCTAGAAAAGTTTTCCCTTCTCTTGATTCTTCTTCCCTTTTTCACCTAAATATGGTGCAGTATAAGTAATTTTGTTCCTGCAGATTTTGCCCAATTCTTTTTTGAGTTCACTGATGTCCAAAGCCACCCCAAGACTGTCCGACCAGGCTCTAACAGGTACAGCCATTGAATTACCTGTAGCACTGTTGTCCAAAGTCACCCCATCTCTGGGGTGATTTCAGACACCAATAAATTTTCTTTTCAGAGAAAATATACGCGGTTTCCTGAATTTCTGTTGACAGCAATCTGAGAGGGAAAAGCATAACGAGACACCATCCGTGTCTGAGACATCATACAAAGATGAACACGAACTCATATGCTGTGTTAGTGGCACTGGAAAAAAATTTGCATTAACAGCTCAGATGTTAATGTAAGAAACTGCAAGTTTTATAGATAGATATATAGATGTACTGATACATTAATATATTATAAAACCAGAAGAGTTTTGAGAGCAATTTATATGGCCCTTCCTCAACTTACTAATCGGTTAGTGATGAGTGTTTGTGTATCACTCTGCACTGCATTTTCATATTATTACTTAACAATCTAGGGGAGTAAATTTGGGAAAGAAGCTACATGATCATAAAAGAAATGAGATAATAAAATTACATATGAAATAGTCAAATATCACCCAAGATGTATATGATGACAATACAGTGAGCAGTGTTGTTCTTGAAGCATATAGGAGTCGGATAAAGAAGTAATTATTTTCCAAACTCTGAACAATATTTAAAATGCTTTGGCATAAACATCAATAGCACTAACAAGCTCTATTGATGCTGAAGAGATACAATACAGTATTTGCCTACCTGGCCTGCACTGACCAGTAAAAAGGCTCGAGGTATTGTGTTCATATTGTAACCACCCAAATCTAGAAGAAACTGGAAAAATACTTCTTTTATCAAAAGTCTCTCCTTTAATTGTTTTCTATTTCCACTGTATTTTCTCCCTGGATTCTCTGAGAAGTTACTCATTCAGCATTAAAGACTACTGACGACACCTTATCAATGAATCATTATTTTAGATGTATTAAACCCCTCAGCTATATGAGCTGTTATATCACAAAAGGGGATATCATCAAGTTATTTTAATATGCATTAAGTGATCCTCATCCAAAATAAAAGATTAAGTTATACATAAGTCCATACCTTATCCTGCAAGACAAACTCCACTCCAAATACTGGGCACTGGGAATACACACTATACAGGGCAGAGATTTCTTTGTGAACCTCATGTAGCTTCTCCACTGGATCAATTCTGAATCCCAGCACATATCCTCCGCTTGCCTCTGAACTCTCTACAACCAATGCCATCCCAAACTTTGATTCACGAACTTTTACCTACAACAAAATACAGTAAGAAGAATTAATAAATGATAGTCTGCTGTGAAGCTACACGAAATCTAGTGTTTTGAAAATGTGAAAAATAAGGAATTAACAAACAACTACTGTATACAAATAATTAAATAAAGGGGTAACCTGGAATTTTTGTACGTGTAAAATAAAATTGGAATACTGTACCTGTATTATTGAAGAACAAAAGGTAGACTGACAATGAGTCCAATAATACTGAGTGCCCAATAGGAGCAGTGTGAATGTTTCACAATGAACACTAAGTCTTCAGTAGACAAGAATGCAGTGTGGCCAGCACTGCACTCAGCTGGCTTCACTTCCCCAACTGTTTAGTACCTATTTATAGCTAGGAGGAGTGGGCATGAGCCACTGACCCTTAGGACATGAGGAGAATGTTGTATTTACTTGACCACTGTACCCCTAGGAAGACAATAACTCCTTAACAAATAAAGCTTATGTCCTGTATAAGGAAAAATTAAAAAAATCTGGCATGTTAATAAGATATAAACTTGTAAAGGAAAAACAAGATGAGGTGAAGCTAGGTAGGTGACATGGTTTAGATGTAGCAAGTTGTCTGAAATGTAATTCAATGCCAACAAAAGTACAGTACCGTGAATAAAAGTTTATGAAAAATATTTCAGGTACCCAGTGTACTCATGTTAAATCCAAAAAGATAATTTAAATATAAATGCTCACTTACAGATGCTATTTGTAGATAAGGGAGAGATATATTGAACAATTCATTCATGTTAGCAAACCACACGAGCCGTACATTGGTGATGATGAAGGTTCCTAAGTTACCCTGGAAAGAAAAGATGCCTATTACTATTAAACTCACAATAACTTCCAATTTTTTTATATTTAGTGTTACATCTTAATGAGGTTTTAAATAGTAATACATTCAACTTAACTAGAGATAAAACAAAACGTAGTCAATGATACTTACTAAATAAGGTAAATATGCACATACCGGTATTGATTTACTTAGGGATACGTACTGCATAATGAACAAAAATAAAATGTATCTTTACAATCATTTTCGAAAGTATTTCAGGTATTTCAGAGGTAAAATTATTGCTTCTCGGTATAGCAATGGCTTGAGCATTTTGTATCAGCAGAGAAGTGGCTGATGGCCAACAAGGTAAAAATTCCAGTTCTCAGACACAAGGAAAATATGAATATGGAAAGATAGTATGTATTGTACTGTATGTCATAAAAATGGATGGGTTGAGGAAGCAGAGATAGACTGGGAGAATTAAGCTAAAATGATGGGTGCAGACAACAGAGCCAATACTGTACAGTGAAGCATTCAAACTGGGTGGTGAAAGCTAATGCATGATATACTGTACAGTACAGTATATGCTGTATAAATAAGGTATCTGTAGAGTATTTGGTACTGTATCATTTATGGAATATAGACAGTAGAATGATAGAAAAAGCTGATGATAATCTTACCTGGTCACTGGAAAGGTTCCATACACCATTAACACGTGAAAATATTTGTTCTTGAGGTAAAATCCTCAGCTGCTTATTCTGAATGATGGCACCACGTAGCTTCAATTCACGATACATCTTAGAGGAGGTGTAAGCTCTGTTGAATCATAGTCCAACACTAATTAGAATTTCAAGAATCTTTAAGTTGGGTTATGGGTTATGAAAACATTGATCTTCCTACATACAAAATACTAACTCATTACCATCCCATGATCTAACATACTGCTCCTTCAATACTGTACTCACTTATACACTCCATTTACTGATGTGAAGAGTCTTGGGGTTCCAGGGATAAGGTTTGTAAAGATGAACTCAAATCTTGTATTATTTGCTTTAGTGAGAATATAGAGAGCCTCTGTTAGCCCCCTAAGTTTCTGTAATCATCAAACTATATTAGAATACTGTACAGGGTACTTAAAAAAAAAAATTGTTGCAAAGCTCAAGGTACAATTGGGAAATTTTGAGGTTTAACATGACACATTTCCTTTCCAGGAAGCTGTCTACCTTCCCACCAGTGCAGTTCCTTTTACTTCACTTATGTACTGTACTGTACACTCTGTCTACAATTTGAACATCCACCCTCCCTATACCATATGTCTGATTCCTTACCCGTCACAGACTTCCAATACACTTCATCATTGCTCATCACCTTACACCTATTATCTAATACCACAAACAAACTTCTAATAGTTGAGTTTTAGTTTGAAATCTAGACATGTTTCTCTCATTCTGAGTCAAGCCTCAGTTTTCACTCTCATAGGTCTGGGTTGGAAGGACTATATTGTCTCTGATTTGTTTCTGCACTCATTATTAAGTCTTCTCTTTGATGATCCTCTCTTCTGACCCATTCACTCTGTTTCCTTGAACTGTGCAGTTTTTTATTATCTTTCTACCGTACCAAGTTCTATAAATCCCTAACACCATCCAGTATTCCACCATCCCATCCTACACTACACCAAGCTTTGTCTACACTGTATTCCTATACAGAGCAGCATTAATAAAGAAGAATATGAAGTATACCAAAAGAAACTGGAAACCTTGTACAGTACTCGAAGCAATTGATGAGCTGAACAAAAAATGTGGAGATGGTCTTCGTGCAAGTGTCGCCTACAATATGTGGGGCGTCCAGCCAGAGACAAAGTAGAGGGGAATAGAAATGTAACTGAAAAGTTAAGTGGTCTTAGAAGGAAGTGTGATAAAAGTGAGATAGCACAAGATTTTTAAAAGAATCAATAGGGAGTCAGTGACTACAACAATATTAAGGATTGAAGTGGTAAGATTATAGGAGAAATAAATATGAAAATGCAGTCCATATATGAGAGGGTAACCTAGATGGAGAATTATTGTACAGTACACAGTGTGGCACATGGAAGAGGTTCTGCTGGAGCCACTCCACTGTAAAAGGTTTGAAATTATACACAATATGTATACCGTACTGTACGTATATATCTCAAATGAATAATATTGTATAGATATGTAATAAAGTCTTTTCTCACACAGTCCACTTTCAAACATTTTCAAATCAGTAAAGTAAAAGATAACACTATCATCATCATCCCCCTAGAGATCTGGAGGATGGCAACCCTAAAAGAGGAAAAGACCTTCTCATGTGAAAACCTGGAGTGACAGTGTGATTCCTCCTTCCCAGACCCCATACAAAATTACCCCTAAAATCATAAAATATATAATAATGGAAAAGTTACAGTACTTGAACAGGAATGTTATGAATCAATCAAGCCTACCCTAAGATTCTTAAGTTAGGCTTAACCAATATAAATCATCCCAAAAATCAGTAGTTAAGTAATTCTGCCCATCTCAACTCATGTCTGATAATGGATTCAAATTAACTTACCACAAGTTGGATGTCCAGAGCACTACTGTCTTATACAAAACACATTCAGAGAAGATAATGTGTCATGATGCTGTTGTTATACGAATTGAATAATCTCATGACTGAAGCAAACAGTTGATACCACTCAACACAGACTACTGTACTTGTAAATACTGTACTGTACCTGATAGACAAATGAGTAACACAACTTACTGAATTCACTGTTTTTGTTGTAATATTTATGATGCAGTTGAACCCAACAGCTGTAAAGATAAGTTTGGGTTCAGAATACAAATACTGTCGTAATAAAAAGTACTACACATGAGAAGACATGATATTTACTCAATTATAAAAAAAATAACATTTCAAAGCATGACATCAAACTTTATTGGAATCTATAACAAGGTGTTGCTCCATTTGATAGTGTTTTAAGTACACATGCTTGTCATATTTAAACTGAGGCAACACCTTTACCTTAATCTCTGTGAGGATATTTCTTTATCTGTACTTTTTATTAAAACTTTTCTACTTGCAGTGATACTTTTGAATACGTATTCTTTCTGTCTTATTCAAGGTGAACATTTGAAATCTTCACTAAACACATCATTTACTGATACAGTATGTTAAAGATGTTACGATCTGGCTGTCTAAATGTTTGAGTCTCTCCATCCGTTACCGGTAGGCAAGGTAAGGTTGAGCTTGGTTTAGTTTATGTAAATTAGGTTAGGTAAGGTTGAGCTAGGCTGATTAGATTAAGTTTAGTTAAGCTTACTTTATATTGGTTAAGTTAGATTATGTTAAGCATACCCTTCTGACAAACACAGTACACTGTATACAGTATACCAAAGCCCATGTTGAGCTATTATATAAAGAGGTTCAGCTTTTACCTTTTTTCTTTCATCCATGAAAAATACTGCTCAACAATACAGTACAGTATACACTGTATTATCAGCTACTAAATTATGGACTGACTATCAAAATTATTTGTCATGTCGTAAACACAGTCAAATGATTCCTCTATGTTCTCTCTGGAGAAAATCTGAATTTGATGACTACTACTGTCCATCATCCTTTCAAGCAAATGACGAATACAAAGACATGGTAATCATCAAGAATAAAGCAGCATTCACACACAAATCTATACTGTACTGTGTACAGAGGTAGTATAGTATTCACATTATACAGTAGAGTTATCACATTGCACAATTGTCCAAAATTAGTCTAGGCTCATATAATATTTTATGGCAATGGCTTCTAAAGTATGTATTGTCCAGGAGCTCTCATTAGTCAGAATAATACACAACTGAAAATGAGTTTGGGTCCTATTGGCATGACTGCCCATTATGGACAGTGTAGATACAGCACACTGTATACTAAGCCTTTGGTAGACAAGGAGGTAGTGAGGCCAGTACTGCATTCACTTCCCCAAGTTGTAAACTTAGGTACACATCTACAGCTGGGTGAACTGAGGATGCCAAGGAATTGAACTACCGACCCCTAGAACAGGAGGCGAGTGCTGTATCCACTCGACCGCTGTGGTCCATAATACACAATTAAGAACTACAAATAAAATTCAGTACTGTAACTTGTTTATAAATACTGTACAAAAGAGTATACTGCACTGTATACTGTATACAACCAGTATTTTTCCTGGGAGGATTACCTATTTTATAATTTCAGAGTCAGATGGTTGTTCTTATATGTAAACTCTTATAACAACATTACCGTAAATGGAAAAGTTATAACTTAATACAAAAAATCTAGAAACACTGTTAAAGACTTACATAGTGATACCCGAGGCATGGTCAGGGAGTGCCAGATTAACCGCAAGTTTGTAATGACAAGTCGACCACGGTCTCCTGAATTCCCTTTAGTGTCTTCAATGGATTCTAATTTGTCAATCATTCGCTCCCCAGACCTCACTCTCATCTGTCTAGACCAAAAACAGACTGATTAGAATCTACAAAATAATTTTCTTTATTTCAACTTGAGTAAATTAAACTTGTGTAAATATCAAAATAGAGCAGAGGCAGACCCCAATCTATGAGAATTTGCTTGATAAAAATTTGCAGTTACTAAAAAAAAAAGTCACAAGCTTCTTTTTTTTCACCGCTTATCAGCTTACTAGCTGTTCGGGTAATTGGTCTGTCCATGTTAGTACAGGTAAGCAGAGTACCTAGAGGAAACCAGTGATGTTCGGTAGGGTCACACTGGATAACATCCTTTCCACATCTGTCTGAGCCAAGCAGGACTTGAACCCATGACATACTGGTGAGAGATACACAAATTGCCACTGTACTACCCTGCACTGGAGTTACAAAAACAAAATAAGTTTTGTGGATAATTTTTCATAAATTTTTACAAAAATATGCTAAACTAATGCTTTTTTTTGCTACCAATACAGCACAGTAAGTTCTGTATGCTTTTTTTATTCAATGTTGGTTTTTCAATCATGAATCAGTAGAAAGAATACAGTACAGTACAATATAAAATTGGAGTACCTGTACCAATATATGAATAAACACAACAAAAACTAAAAAAATTACCATCCAGGTAAGAGTTGAGGTTCTCTTACAAATGGCATTGACCAAATTTTACACAACTGTCCATCTGACCCATTTTCTTTGTTTTGTACATAAAAGTATTGTACAATACCTATGTACTGTATTTTATATTTTGCTTACATACTCCTATGACTTTTTCTAAATATTACAGTACATATTAATGTACTATGGTACAGGTTATACAATTACATTATACAGATGTTGGCTTAGTGTTTCACTGTTCACTTTGTTTCCATAATTGTCTGTTTTTTCATAAGTACAGTACTGTACTGTACTGTATGTATTTCATTTTCAGTACAGTATATCTTAATTATTGGCTTATAATTACTATTGTGTACACCAAAATTTTTGCTAAAACAATGTTTTATTGCATTATACTGTATGGCATTTTCTGATGTTTTGGAAAATTTTTCCGAGGAAAGTATCTCAGTTTTTTTAATAAGAGTCTATGGGAAATTGTGCTTTAACTTAAGGAACCCTTTTGTAAATTGGGGTCTACCTGTACAGTATAGTACATGTTTACTTATCCAGCATGGACATGGGTGTACCAGGTACAAGCATTCTTTTCAAATACAATACATACAGTACAGTACACTGAAAACTGACCAGACAGTCTATCAGCACAAATACAACAATAATAATAAACCAAATGCATAATTAACACACCTCTTATTAACAATAAAGAGGCAAATCACATGGATAATATACAGGCAGTCCCCGACTTATGACATGAACACGTTCCTGGACCCTGATCATAAGTCAATTTGTTCATAAGCGAGAACAGTGTTAATTCCATAATTTAGATTAGGTCAAAGCACAACCATGCCTGTACAAAACAACAAAAATATCCCATACATAATAAATAATGTAAATACTGTAAATAAAGTGATGTTAAACAATATAGAATAACAAAAATAATATAAAACATGGGATCTTAATTACAAATTTTTGCAATGAATGCATTGGGATCCCGTTGGTAATTGTGGGTGTTCAAAAGTTGGATGGTCGTAATTCAGGGACTACCTCTAATAATAATAGCACTATAAATGTATTATCGCAATATTATTCTGCTAATACTGTACAGTACTATCATATAAATACTTTATCAGTACAGCATTAATTAAACACTGGAAAAATACCAAAATTTTAAGGTAACACTTAAATTTAGTGTAAAAATTACTACAGTATACAGTAATATTGTACTATGCCCAGGCACCTTATAATTAAAACCAAAACAAAAAGTAATTTTTTCTAGGCTTTTCATATGTTGAAGTATATGAGAAGAATTTTAACATTCTTCTCATATAGGGTGAATAAAGCCTATAAAATACTAGGGTACAGTACATGCCTGGTGTGTGTGATACCATATCAATCTACAGCTCAGTACAGTACGGTACTGTTAGAGAACAGTACTTTTGTGATTTATTATACACAAAATACTTACTGGGGAGTAATATCAAAGCGAACATCTCTGTCTTCCCACAACATCCTTCAGCTCTTATTTACCGGACAGTTCTTCTTGTAGAGGGGACAGATCCACTTCACTAGGCCTATGTGCTCTTCAGCATCTTTCTTGAAACACCATCATGAGTATATTTCTTGTACCTTAAGTTCTTGGAACTTATTTACTGGCAAAACTACTATATGACTCCTCCAGTTACTGTAGTTGTGAAGAATATTCCTGATCAATATAAACACTGAGGAGAGATTTTAAGATAATATTAGTATACAGTAGTACAGTACATTATTTATTTATCCTATTCTGTTGGTTATCAGCTTACTACGGTTGTTGGACTAATACAGGGATACCAGTTTTAATATTTTATTTGGCTAATGCCAGACAATTTCATTCAGCAGAGAGGGGACCCATACACAAGTGGTAATACTGAGTGATATCCTGTAGGGTTACATTGTAAGGGCAAACTGAATACAAAAGGTAATGTTACTCCACCTAATTTTCTTTATTTCTGAAGTAGGAATAGGTTTTCTTTTATAGAGATTTTTCGTTAGGTAGCTGGATAACCCAGACCTTTATTCTTAACTATTACTGGTAAAGGTGGAGCAGACAGCTTACACCAGAAGGAGCAGTTTCATTTCATTCGTTCTTTCCACAGATACTCTTTGGATGATAGTAATAAAAACGATATGACAATGCACAGATAATAATAGAACCAAACCTAACCAATCTAACTTCTAAGCCAAGGGGAGCCAGCATATTAAACAGAAAGAACTTACTTTGATATTTGGTACCAATGAAAGCAACTTTCTAGAAGCGGCTTGGTGTAATTTTATATTTTTTGTGGACATGAGAGTATGCTCGGACCAAGTGGTTCAGTTGTTGTACTGAAACAAAGAGCAAACAACAACACGCGCCGACACAGCAGATTTTTTTGCAGAATATTTATGGTAAATAATTAATTTCTTTGCATACAAAACCCAAAGAGACATTATTTCAGTGTCATATCCTCATGTGATCGTTTTTTTTTACATATTTTACCCAGCAATTTTTCTCATTCTTCATACCCTGCACACTGCAGGTGATTTACGACTGTAGATAAAGAAAAACTAAAAAGGATGAAAAAATAAATACTTAAAATAAAAATAAAAAATCATATCAGTTTTATTACTTACAATCAACCAATGAACACGTGGACAAAAATTTACTTAATTTTTACTTTACTTTAACTTTTATCCTCTTGATCATTATCCAATTGGGACTCTAATATTGTGGTTGAATAAACAAAGTAAAACAAAACATTAAGTATCAGAACAATTCCCAATCATGGGAACTTTATATTTTTCTTTGTAATTGTTATAATGTTTCTATTTCCATCATAAGATATTATTTAACCAGCCAGTCAATGATGACATTCACTGGTACATACCAGTTTGTTACTTAGTAAACTGAACCAAACTTTACCAGTTTTGTTTTCTCCCCTTCACTACCTGTCAGTCTTATTTATTAATGGTAACCATTTTACATATACAGTAGTTGTCCTCTTACAAGTACAGTACTGTTATTTTTAGGCGTCAGCTGGCACTAACTTCACCTTGTTCATGAGAATTATTAAGAGAACAATGGACAACAACCCACCAGTCACTTGTGTTTGTTTACATACCAGACATTCCGTTGCCATGGTTACCACACTCCACTCAGCTGTGTTGTCTAAAAACTTCAGTTAAAATACAAAGTAAACAACCTTAGTGAAACAGTTAGATGTTACTACAGTATTGGGTATTTATTATCATTATTAATTTATCAAGTTTATTATTTTCATTATCATTTTTTATTATTACGTTGAGTATCAATGAATCCACGCTAAATGACCTAAATAATCCCGCGCCACATTTTGTATAAACTCTGAAAGACAATTTTCTATTTCAAGATGTTAAAGATCCAACTCACTACAGAGGGGAGCAAACACCCAAGTCACTGGACCTCGTCAAAACTAACGAGGATATGGTGGCCAAGCTGGAACACCTAGCCTGAGTTGGCACCAGTCACCATGTAACATCCTTCAGATTTAATTGTTACTTGGTTCATGACAAAAACCAGGCCTTGGTTAAAATATTACAAAGGAAATTATATTGGGATGAGGAGTATACACTGGCTTAACCCAATAAGATATAAGAACACAGACACTACGCTGAATATCATAGCCGTTAAAATTAACCATTTGTTAAAAAAATATATACCCAAGACCAAACCCAGTGCCTCCAGGGATACAAGGAGACCGTTACACATGAACCATGCAGCGGTTGACAAAGTTAAGAAGAAAACTCAGGATTTTGAGACGTGGGTTAGGACAAATGATGAGCAGGACAGGAGGATGTATGCCAAATCCAGGAACCAAGCAAAGACAGAGTGTAGAAAGGCTGAAAAGGAGTTCCAGAGGCAAATTGTAAGCGAGGTCAAGTCAAACCCAAAGGCTTTTTACCGCTATGCAAAGTCGAAAGTAAAAACGCGAATAGGCATATCGAACCTGAGGCTTGAAGATGGTAGTTATGCAGATTCTGACAAGGATAAGGTGGAGGAATTGAACAAATTCTTTTCCTTGGTGCTCAGGAGAGGATGTGAGCAATCTTCCTGCATTTGAGAAGATGGTTTGACAGAAGAGGGTACATGGTATAAGGGTACTGTATAAGAAACAAATTGTCAAAGGTAAAGATTCATAAGAGTCCTGGCCCTGATATGGTACACCCAAGTGTTAAGAGAACTGTGTAACGAGCTTGCGGAGCCCCTTAAGATCATGTTCTGCAAATGCCTGGATGAGCAAAAGGTCCCCAATGACTAGATAATGGCTTATGCGAGTCCTATATTCAAGAAGGGCGACTGTCACTCCACGAATAATTTTAGACCAGTGAGCCTGACCAGCATAGTGTGTAAAGTACTAGAAAGCATCATAAGAGATGCCATGATGGGACATCTACTACAAAACAACCCTGTAAAAGATTACCAACATGATTTTATGCCGGGACGCTCCTGCTTGACACAATTACTCAAGGTCCTGGATGTTTGAACTCAAATTCTAGAACAAGGCATAAATTTTCAACAATATACAGTATACCTAGATTTTGCTAAGGCTTTCAACAGCGTACCCAATGAAAGGCTGAGAATTAAATTGGAAGGGCATGGGATTCGGAGAAATGTCCTAGCGTGGATCGAGACTTTCTGATTGACGGCAAACAGTGTGTGTGGTGATTAATGGTATGAAATCATCATATGTACATGTGACAAGCGGGATACCACAGGGCAGTGTATTGGGCCCGTTGTTGTTTGCTTGTTTCATAAATGATATGCCAGAAGCTATACACTCCTCGATGCAAAATGTTTTTGGACGGTGCCATGGTATTTAGGAAAATTAAAATCCAAACAGATGTTGAGGAGCTACAGAAAGATTTCTATGAGCTTCAGAAATGGTCAAAGAAATAGCTGCTAAGATTCAATGTTGTGAAGTGCAGGATGCACCTACTGTAGGTTGCACCAACAGCAAGAAGGCATAACACATGTCCCAACGGGACAAAGTAGCTGCATTAATTTAGACCGAATGTGAAAAGGACCTGGGTGTGTATGTCAACAAGGAACTTAAATTCTCGGACCATTGTGAGAAGGTGAATCAGGAAACGAAACTAGTAGTACCCTGTATAAGGTCTTATAAGAAGGTCGTGTAGATATCTGGATAGTCTGTCGCTCGTCGTGATCTTCATGAGTAAGGTGCTTTGAAATAAAAGAAGATAGGTGGAAAATGCTCAGTGTGGAAATCCCACTGCTACCGATACAAGTGATGTCACATCATGCAACTTCCAATAATCTGTCATGGTAAGTAAAAATGCAATTAATCTTTTCAAAATTTTATTAAATATTTATTTTTCCATCTTATTGTAAGAAAAATATCGTTAGAAAAAAATCTTGACTTTACTACATCTGGGACTTTGTGAAGTCAATTCAGTGACTGCAGTTTTAAGGGTTAATGATAAACATTTATCTACATAAAATGTATTAAATAAAATATTAGCCATATTAAACCTATTAATCATAGACTTCTGCAAAAATTTTGAACCTTCCACAAAAGAAGTAAGTCTCCAAACCATACAATGTATTTCAGAGGAGTGATTAGGAGGTAAAAATAAAAGAAATAAAGTAAATACTGTAACTAAAAAAAAAAGACTTGGGAGGAGGCTAGAATGATGCTATAGATTCATCAAAAACAATACCTAAGATTGATTCCAGTGTTTGGCAGGTTTTAAAATGTATATAGAGCTGGTCATTCTGAGGGAAAGGTTCCATAAGAGTGAAAGAAATGGAAAAGGCTTGGAAGGAAGGTGCATGTTAAGTGGAAGGATTTGTTGTTATGGCCAACCCATAAAAGGAATTCTGACAGGATAAGATGTTGGAGACAAAGACAGGCTCATGTTTACATCATAAACTAAAAGAACCATTTTTTAATGATAAGATACTGCTCCATTCAAAGAAAATGGCATAAACATGTTTCCCTTTCATAATTATTTTAAATTAGGCATGAAGGTTATCTATCATAACAGGACTACTGAACCTTTGGAATGACTTTGTCGAAGATATGGTGAATTTCTATTTCTTTGGACTTAATTTACACACATTGGTAATAGTTCCCATAAAGTAGACTCTAATTTGAATCCATAAATTGAATTTCAGTTAAAATGAATATCGTCTTAGGCAAGGGTTTTGGCTGGGGAGATAACACCTTCACCATCTTGTTCTCATCATCAACATCTAATCTGTAAGGTACAGTAAATAAATTTCAGGGTTAATTATAATATATTCATATCTTCTTAACATCAGCTTGTCATAACCATAAACTATATATTGTTTCATAAAAAAACATCACAGTAACTGACTCTATCTACTGATATACTTATTTAAATTACTTATTAAATTTGTATTTGTAATCTTAAATTAGTTTCCATCACACATTTATAACATTATTAACATTTGTTTCTGAGTGATAAGTGTACAAAGTTTTGCAAAACATCCATGCATGTACAGTACTGAAATTAGAAAGACGACAGGATATGGTAATACTGTAGTGAATTGACATTGCTAGAGCCTTTTACATAACTTTCACTATGAACACTATGTCACAAGTGTTAAATAACACTAATATTTTTGTTCACTTTAAATCAAACATAAAACACTTAAATTATACAATGTCACGAGTCATTTCTCTAGCAACTTTCATCCATCCATGTATGGTATTATATTTCCTCTGCTCCAAGTGCTTCAGATAGATGACAGGAAATATGAACTGAACAGCAAGGAAATAATCAAAAGAGAAGTGTTACAATTTACAACATATCTTTAATTTACTAAGTGAAATATTCTAGCAAATTCAGTGCTCATTAATTTCCCCCAACTCCCCTCTTTGGTAAACTTACCCATTGTTCAGTCCCTCTCATAAAATATTGAATGATTCTTCTAAATACACTGTAATTTATCTCTTATGACTTCTAATTCACTACTGTATTAGATAATACTATACCGTGTTTTCTGCTTTACCCTGTTGACTGATTACTTACACACAAATAAATCCAGCAACATTGGATGTCAAAAGATCTTCAGGTTCAGTAGCCAGACTCACAGCTAGCATATGGTGTTTCAACTTTACACCTGAGAAAAACAAAATTAAAGTTCATGAAAACAAAACAACAAATATTCCAATACTCCTTATAAAAAAAAAAAATATATATATATATATATATATATATATATATATATATATATATATATATATATATATATATATATATATATATATATATATATATATATATATATATATATATATATATATATATATACAGTATATATATACAGTATATATATATATATTACCCCCTGTATACATATACACACAGTACACACATCTAGAAGATGTATACAAGACCAGTTATGAAGTAGAACATTTTAGCTTCCTCATTAAGCTGTTTTAATTTTTCACATAAGGTTCAATCTCGGTTACTCTGACTCACCTCTTCTCATGTGACTTTAAGGATCATTTAAATTTTTTAATCATTCTATATTTGATGTGTAAACAAAAAACTAATTTCAGGGAAAATTCTGTGTATTGTCTTAACATATGCAAAGGAAATTAATTCTGAACATTAATATAAACAATCACAGTACCGTCCTCATATCTGAGGCGACCACAGTCCTCCACTAGAAACATTCTCAGGCTGTTTTACTAATCCTCCTAGGTTTAGTATCTCTCCTACCCTCAAATTTACCCATTAATATTGCTGTTATTATCCCCTCATCCCTAATTATATGGCCAAAGTATTTAATTTTTCTCTTTCTGTACATCTCAAGTATTTTTCTTGAAGTTTTTGCTAATCTTAGTACAGTACTTCTTCATTTGTTTTCCAGTCAGTGTAGCTATTCTTAACTTTCGCCTGTAACACCACATTTCAAAGGCCTCCAACCTCATTCTGATGTCTGCTGAAAGTGTCCATGCCTCTGACCCATACAATAGTCCTTGCCATATAAAGTCTTTCAGCATTCTTTTTCTTAAATTGAAGTACTGTATGTTCCCTTTTCTTAGGTCTTTTACATAATTAAATACTGTTGTTGCTTGCCCTACTCTTGTTTTGATTTCATATATACATCTACCATCACAGCTAATGTTACTTTCAAAATACAAAATTTTTTCCACTTGTTTATGTTCCCTGTTGCCTACATTACTTTTTATTTTAAGATTTATTTCCAATTTGGAAACAACCATTACTTTCGTCTTTACAGCATTAACTCTTAAACCACATTTTTCACCTTTTCCACTAATGTGTTAACAAGTTTTGTAATGTCTCTTCACTATCTGTGATAGGAACAGTATCATCTGCATAGCATATATTTGATATTACTTTACCATTAACTTTTAGTCCTTCATTATCACTTATAACTTCTCTCATTAAGAATTCTGAATACAGTAGACCCTTGCCATTCACAGGTTTGCGATTCGCAGTAAGTAGATAGTGGCTAGTTTGCAGGCATTTTCCAGCAGCACAATGAGTCACCCCATGCAGCATCTCATGTTATACTCTCAAAACTTAAGTGTTTCTGTGTGAAATGGTCCCTTAAAAGACTGCCTAGTGTCAGTGGAGTGAAATGTAAAAGACAGAAGTTAGCGATGACCCTGACAAAGAAAGTTGAATTACTGTATTAGATAAGTTTAAAGAGGGGATGAGTGCTGCAGCAGCTGGTCGGTTGTTTGGTTATACTGTAGGTATACAGTAGTGCACTAAGGTAGTACAAGATGCTATTTGTGGCTTTACCTATCCATGCCTTTCCTTGGAACCTAACTCCTGAGAATAACAAGGGTTTACTGTACATATTATACAATGTTAGAGACAGAACACAGCCTTTTCTTACTCCCTGTCTAACTGTGAACTAATTAGTAAGTATATTATTTACTAAAACTGCAGCATCCTGCTGCTAGTAAAGATTATTTAAAATTCTAATATCTCCTTCAATAAGTTTATTGTGCTTTACCTTATCAAAAGTTTTTTAAAAATCAACAAAGCAGAAGTACAAAATTCTTTGGACCTCTAAACCTCTTTCATTCAAAATTATTACACCAAATATAACTTCTCCATTTCCTTTTCCTTTTCTAAATCCACTTTGCTCTTCAGATAACTCACTTCGTTTTCCAAAATTCATTACACTTAAAATTATGTTAAATAAAACTATGGAGATTTAGTTAATACAAATATTGATTTTTTTAAATCACTGGTAAGGTCTCCTTTGAAGTACAGTATACTGTATAGAAATACATATTTGTCAAACATTTTATCCCATTCTTGCACATTTGTTTTGTAAATTTTGCCCACAGCTGCCTCAACTTGTTACTAGAATTGGCATTTTGATCCTTATTTCCTTTTTGTTTCTTAACTCTACTCTATCCTTATCATTGTATAGTTCTTCTATGTACTCTGCCCTTATCTCTTTTACTTCTGCCTCAAACAGGATCTTCTTATTGTCTTTGCATTTAATAGTCCCACCACATTTATTTCCTTTTATCTGGTTCATTTGTTTAATCTTTCTGTACATTTCTCTATAATTATGCCATCTGTCATCATCTTCAATCTCCTTGCATTTCCTTTCTAGATCATCTTTCTTGGCCTGCCTGCATATTTTTTCATTTACTTGTAAATTTATATAAGCCTCACTTCATTTTCTCATACTGTATTTCTTTTAGCTTCATTCCACCTATGTCCTGTATGTTTTCCCCCAGTCTCTAACTTCTGTGTAATTATTAAATAGTTGTTCTGGTCCTTGTTCATCAGTCACCCTCTAGCAATACTGAAAATCTATTTTTGGTTTCAATTTCATATTCTATCCCTGCCCCTGTTTTGAGCTTACCTAAATCCCATTTGATTTTTTTCCATAGTTTTTCTTTTTAATTTTTGAAGTTTTAGCCTCACTAAACTATAACAACATGCTGCTATAAAGCAACAAACAGGACAAATAACTTGTTGCATAAGTATGTTAATTAGCCTTTATGAGTGTGAACACATCTTAATCATCATTATTTTATGGCCATTTCCCACACTAACGTGGAATAGATGTAATTTCCTTTTGACGTAAATGTCCTGGGTGCCACAGGCAAATTCTAAGCAAGTTTTAGGGCTGGATGCCCTTCATATCGCAAACCTGCTTTTACAGTGGGAATTGGGAATTATATTCAGGACTTCCTCTTCGCTGGAAAGGCAGGGTAGCAACTCCCTGAGGTAATAAAAGATTACCCACCTACCTTAAAAGAGACTCCATTGAATAGGATTGACTGTCAGCCTTAAGAACAAACAAAGGAAATCCCCCAACCAATCTTCAGTGTCTCTGACTTTTTTTAATCATGTGGCTCAAACTGGCAACCATCAGATCCCAGACAGCTGATCTCAAATGTATATAACTGTATACTGGTGTGAGTGTACATAAATTACAGATGTACAGTGGTGAGATTTTACAAAACTACAAATGCACATCACCTTACATAGGTATCTGCATATAGCTTACAAAAGTATGCAATTTTATAGGAATGTGTATGTAAATATCTTCCATACATATATACATATATATATATATATATATATATATATATATATATATAATTCTTTACAAAGGTGTGTGTGTGTACATGACTTACTTGGTTCTACTGGCACCAGCTTTGTCATGTGGTCATCTACTTTCATGTCTGCTGGCATACAGGAATCTGGAAGAGCTGGAGCACCGATTTTGTATATTTGAAGGTGGCTCATCTTGACCTCAAAACTGTGTGGGTGATACTTGGTGTGAAGTCCATAATAATACTCACGAATGCGATCATCTCGGGCTGAGGATCTCATGGGCTGGGTTCTCTCAACAACCTGCAAAGAGAAAAGTTAGATTGTAGCAAGAGAAGTCAGATATTTTATTTATCGTATTTCCGGCAGCTTTGTTTACATATCAAACAGCTGATTGTAGAGGCAGTCGATGATGACATGCCATATTCTTTACAGAGTACATTGGTTCTAAAGCCTTTTTCATGTTTCATAATAATTTCTGCACTGTATATTATCAATATGTGAATTAAATTTCAGAATGACCAATAATTTTAATGTAAAAATGCAAAAAATATTCAAGAGACCAACAAACTGGATGTTCACTCCACAGTAAACAAAGTTAAACTGAAAAGTGTTGGTGGGTGATTCGATCAGCTGATTGGCACACAAAAACTGTTCCCTGTACTGTATATAATATCAATATGTTAACTAAATTAGAATGATCATTAATTTTAATATAAAAATGCAAAAATATTCAAGAGCACAACTTTCTTGATATTTACTCCACTGGAAACGAATGTAAACATAGAACCAATTACTGTACAGTATTGTCGGACTAACCGATCAGCTGATGCGCATAATAAAGCGTGTTTCAAGTAAGGCTTTCGTTAATCGAAGTTTTGTTCGTTAATGGAATTGAAAATCCTTATGGGAGCTAATTCGTTAACCGAAATTTCGTTAATTGAACTGTTCGTTAATCAAGGGACTACTGTGTGTGTGTGTGTGTGTGTGTGTGTGTGTGTGTGTGTGTGTGTGTGTGTGTGTATATATATATATATATATATATATATATATATATATATATATATATATATATATATATATATATATATATATATATATATATATTAAAATTATGTAATACAACCTATTCAAATATAACAGTTCTTCAATTAATTAATTGAATAATTAAAAAAGTAAGATAGACCAACCCCTCCACTTTTTGGCAGAAAAACAATCTTGATGAAAGGAATATCTCGCACCAGTTCATTGTACAATCTCTCCTGGTCCAGTACAATAATAACATCAACTTCAAATGCTTGAGCAACATGGGTCAAGCTCTTGTAACCTTCATCTTTGACCCAACCACATGTGTTGATGACCACTCCAGATGCTGCCACTGACAAGAAGATCAATTAATAAACAATTTTCAGTAAGCCCTTAATCTATGCAGAAGTTATGGTCTTGGATCTCTAGAAAATACTGACACCAGGGATGGAGTGAATACATGAGTTTAGTATTCGAATGTGAATATAAATAGTTTTAATTTCTAAGAATGCAAATGCGAATATTGTACTTCTAATTTATAAAAAAACTGCAAATACAGAGGAACATCACCCATAGCATACAATGGCATATAAGTCAAAGCATTGCTGAGACATCATCCGGAAACAAATAATCTCCAATAATATTTGAAAAAAAAGTTCCTTCAGCAGCCACTATGTGGCCATATCATGAACACAATATTCTTCATTTTCAAAAACTACCATCAAGGATCAGAGTAGAAAATAGTCAGGTACAAAGTCAGGTCCATAGTCAGATACAGTCAGATCGTCCAGTCACAGTTAGTTAAAGAGGTCCTATAATTAAAAATTACGAAATGGTGAATGAGCCCCACTCCTAGGCCTGATCTGATCATTAGGATGAGGGCCAAATCCTAAGTGGTTGCAATCCTTATGGTTAAGATAGATTACACAGAGGTATATTAGGACTGGGGCCCATTTGACCTCTAACTTGGTTACTACTCTGACCAACATCAAAACAGAAAACACAACCTGTCATTAATGATATGTCCTGACGTGACCCACCTTTCCGATTAGCAACCATCTTGTCCTGTACTGTAGCTGCCATTCGAGACACCAGAATGTTGTAGAGTGTTGGGTTGGATGATGGTGCCAAGTGGCCAAAGTTATAGACTAAGGGTGCCTCCTGAGAGAAACCCTCACCAACAGAGGCAGCCCGCTCAACCAATAATGACCCTGAAAGAAAAATAAGCAAAATGCTACATAGATCTCTCTGTCTAGTTTAACGATGTGGATGCATTCCTGAAAAAAAACTAACAAGTATAATTATCACTAAACATCCACCGTTTTCCCCCTTCATAGTGAGTCAAGCGATTGCTAAACCAAATTTTTACACGTTACATGAGAAAGGGCGTAAAAAATTTTATATCGCTAAACTGAATTATCATTAAGTGAAGTAACGCTATACGAGGGACACCTGTACATAGCAAACAGTTTTAATTGGTGATATTATTTTTTGTGTTTCTACAGAAAGGTAGATCATATCTTTATGTATGTGTAATAGACAAAGCTACATACAGTACTACTAAGATTCAGACTAATTTTATTCCAGATGTACTGCATACTGTACTGTACAGTTGTTGTATGAGGATCAGAGAGCATTGTAAATAAATACACCTTACCTATAGTTCCTGGGATGGCAATAGATCCTTGACCAACATCTAGATCCACAAAGACTGGTCTACGCCCCATACGTACAGCATAGTTCAAAAGAATGCGACACAGCGTTGACTTGCCTACATCTCCCGGTCCCACAATCATTGTAACTGGTCCTCTTGTTTCTTCTTCATGATTTAATCCTTCGTCAGCATGCTTTCGTAATCGCTCTAAGCATGCATGTGTGTTTAGATACATAATCTGTAAACAAGGACAGTACAGTACTTTAGATCTCTTACCAAGATTCACAAAAACAAATATTAAAAATTCCTGACAAACTTTACATCATACCAAAGATATTACATTTTTTTTATTTTCACTGATTTCCTTTTGTGTGATCAATCATATTGCAGAAAACCTCAAACAATGGGAGGGGAATAAAGAAACACAAGAGCAGGAAGTACATGTAACAGGAATGGGTAATTACAAGTTGGGGGTCCCCAACTTATGAACAAGGTTCCATAAGGTCAATTGTTTAAAGAATCTGACACAAGTACAACTGGTTTGTAGTATTAACATACAAGGACTAGTTTGCATGACGTAGCAATGAGGCGGAGCGGCGGGTGGGAAGTAATGCGTCACCCAGCCACGCGTCTCGAGGGAGCGCCAGTATGCTTTACCCTCACCGCATTAACATGTGTAATCAAGTGAAAACTGTTGTTTTTTGCATATTAACTCTTTTTTGGCACTCATCATGGCTCCCAAATGCAAACCTGATGCAAGTGATAGTAGTGCATCCAAGAAAAGGAAAGCAATTACAACAGAAGTGAAAGATGATGTAATTAAGCATTCTGAAAAAGTGAAACACCCTCAGTCATTGGTAAAGTATGAGGCTTCAGTCAGTTAATGGTCGGAACAATTTTGAAAGACAAAGTGAAACATGTTGAACATGTAATATAATCTACACCAATGCACTCAACTGTGATAACAAAAGAAAGAAGTGGATTGTTAATTGAAATGGAAAGATTGTTAGTGATATGGGTGAAGATCAAAATCAACGGCATTTGCCTCTAAATCTAGCTTTGATTCAGGAAAAAGCGAGAAGCATGCACGCTGACTTGAAGGCTAAACGCGGTGGTGAAAGTGAAGGGGAAGATTTTGTCGCTAGTATGGGCTGGTTTAACCGGTTCAAGGCAAGGGCAAATTTACATAACATGAAGCTGCAGAAAGTGAATTTCCTGCAACTTTAGCTAAAATAATTGCAGAAGGGGGTTATTGTGCTGAGCAAGTTTTAATAGTGATGAGACTGGTTTATTTTGGAAAAGGATACCTGAAAGCATATACCTTTCACAACAAGAAAAAAAACAACACCAGGGCATAAAGCTACCAAGGAGGTTAACCTTACTGCTGGGGGGCAATGCTGCAGAGAACTACAAACTAAAACCTTTGCTCGTCTACCAGTCAGAAAATCCAAGAGCTTTGAAGGGTGTTCTCAAGGCAGCACTTCCAGTTATCTGGAAATCTAATAAGAAGGCTTGGGTGACATTGGCCCTTTTTGAATACTGGTACCTAAATCATTTTGTGCCTGAAGTGGAGCAATATTGTGTTTCCAAGTCAATACCCTTCAAAATTTTATTGGTACCCTGTACTTGACAATGCACCTGATCATCCTGCATTTTTAGATGATGTTCATCCAAACATTAAGGATGTGTACCAACCTCCAAACACAACATCTGTTTTACAACCTATGGACCAGGGAGTTATTGCTTCATTTAAAGCATATTACCTGAGAAGGACATTTGTTCAAGCTATCAGGGCAACATAATGAAAAGAGGGAAGAACTTTAAAAGAATTTTGGAAGCCATACAACATTTATGATGCTGTGAAAAACATTACAGATTTATGGGCTGAGGTAAAAGAAACCAATAAAAATAGTGTTGGGAAGAACTCTTCCTACAGTTTGTCTACAATTTCAGGGGATTTGAAAATGATGTTGGGGAAGTGACATAGACAGTGGTAGACCCTGGGAACCAACTCAGCTTGATATTCATGAGGATGATGTCACATATTTCCTTGAGTCTCATACTGAAGAATTAAGCAATGAAGACCTGATTGAACTGGAGAAGCAAATTTTGTCTGAGGATGGAGAGGAATCTGAAACCCCAGAACCAAAGCGATTCATTACAAAAGAAATGGCAGATAGTTTCAAACTTATTGAAGAAGGATTGTTTAAATCTGAACAGCAGGATACCATCACAGCAAGATTCACCAAGATTCACAGAGGTATTACTGAATGTCTACGATGCTACAGAGAAATTTATGACGAAAAGAAAGAAGTTTTAGTTCAACCATCACTTGAAAACTTTTTTATGAAGAAAGTCGCAAGGCAGCCAAAACCAGTCCACCAACCTCTGCAGCATCTACAGAACCAGTCCCATCAACCTCTGCAGCATCTACAGAACCAGTCCCATCAACCTCTGCAGTATCTACAGAACCAGTCCCATCAACTTCGGCAGCAATTACAGAACCAGTCCCATCAACCTCAGCAGCAATTACAGAACCAGTCCCATCAACCTCTGCAGCAATTACAGAACCAGTCCCAACAACCTCTGCAGCATCTACAGAACCAGTCCCATCAACCTCTGCAGCAATTACAGAACCAGTCCCATCAACCAGTCCCATCAACCTCTGCAGCAATTACAGAACCAGTCCCATCAACCTCTGCAGCAATTACAGAACCAGTCCCATCAGCCTCTGCAGCATCTACAGAACCAGTCCCATCAACCTCTGCAGCAATTACAAAACCAGTCCCAACAACCTCTGCAGCACCTACAGAACCAGTCCCATCAACCTCTGCAGCAATTACAGAACCAGTCCCATCAACCTCTGCAGCATCAACAGAACCAGTCCCATTAACCTCTGCAGCACCAACAGAGGAACTCCCAGTAACTCCAGAACCAGGTCCCTCTACCTCACCAGATTCTCCAGAACTAATCCTATTAACATCTACAACACCATCACCATCTTCAGTTTCATCCCAATAAAGCCTCTGTCACTCCTATATGTGCCCATCTCTACATGCAAGCCAGCCCCAGGGTTCAATGTACAGGACAGGGTAAGTGTTAAACTTTAATTTTTAGTTTCCTTTACTGTATTTTGTCATTCAATTTCTTCTTTTCTCTTAAATTAAGTGAGTCAAGATGTATAAAAGGACTTAGGCTATGAAATAGTGCACATAGGGTGTGTGTTCTGACTTATGTACATTTCCAACTAAAGAACATCCCCAGGAACAGGACTCATTCATAACCCAGGGACCCCCGGTACAGTATTTGTATACTGTTGAAACATACATTATATTGCAGCTATCAAATATACATGTGCAATACTCACCATTGGTGTCTCTTTTGCAATGTAGGTGCCTTCTGTATTTCCTGTGACCTTGAGAGTACAGCCATGCCAAGTGTACACTGCCACCTTAGCTCCAGAGAAGAAGGTATATGGCTTGTCTGGTGCCAGCTCTGTCCCAAACACTTCCGCTTTGCCACTGGTTAGCTTTTAATGTAAAGAATATTTTTAGTGCATGTCTGCCTCATCAGTTTAACAAAAATGATATCTGTGTAATGTTTACATACATGATTTTAATCTACAGTTTGAATTATATGAGCATATCTACTACCTACAAAATTAGGTGAGGAACAAAAAATAAATTATTTATACATTCTCTCGATTTAAATACTAATTCGAGCCACCCCTTTCCGTTAAATAAACATTTCCATTATTTTCACTTGATTCCGTTAAATTTCGTGCCAAATGTGCCGCGTAGTGCGGGGGTTTGTTTACATTCACTCAATCTGTGTCCTGCCACCACCGCGTATGTTGTTCACTGCTACCTCTCAGTCAAGTAACTACTGTACTTAGACATCATGCCAAAAGTATCTCAGAAGTCTCAGAAAGGTAGTGGTGTGGGGGAGAAAGTCAAAAGAGTGCAGCTATCAATTTGAAAAAAGTTTGGAAATTAAAAAAAAAAGAAAAAAAAAAAAGAAAACAAACACCGTACCCCCTAGTTTAAAGTAAGTCATGAATAATGTTTCTAACGTTTCTATGTACATATCATGTGTCTGAGGCGTCTCCGTAGGTGTGAGCATATTAACGGAATTTATCTCGATTCAGCTAAATAGTTCACTAAATCGAGTGAAAATAACAGAAAAAATTCCTTCCACTAAATCGAGAGTTTGTTTTATCAGATTCCGTTAAATCGAGAGTACTGTATACTGTACAGTATATATATATATATATATATATATATATATATATATATACCAGTGATATCTCCGTTAGCTGAAATAATTGATGCAGAGCTCTTCCAGGAATGAGCGCTTTCCGGGTAATGAGATGACTCTTTGAAAGCCTGAAAAAATCCCTCATCCCCGGAATTTTCCAGGTACGTACCGGAAAATTTTTCTCAGCAGTTCCAGAATTTGCGCATTACATCATCTCTCAAATCTGGAAAAAAATCCATCATCCCCGGAATTTTCCAGAATGATGCATTACTTCATCTCTCCAAGCCGCAAAAAATCTCCTGTCCCTGGAATTTTCCCGGAACCAGAAATTTTGTCTGAATTTCCGGAAAATGCACCTGATTTACATCTCTCAAACTCGTAAAAAATTCCCATATCACCATAATTTTTCGGGTACCAGAAATTTTTTCAGGATTTTACAGAAAATATGCCCCTCAGAAAATGATTCCCAAAGCCAGAATTGTCTGGAAAATTCTGGCTTTGGGAAAAATTTTCTGAGAAAATTTCAATTCTGGCCATCGGAGAGTTCCAGTTAAGAGGGATTCCGACTTATGGAGACAATACGACATACTGTATACTCATATATACAGCTCCTCCCCAACTTACAACCTACTCGACTTATGACCACTAGCACCTACGACCTGCCTCAGTCGTACCAAAATTTTGTCAAATTATGTATTTTCGAGTCCCAATGTCAGTACACAGAGAAAATTTTCGTTTGTAATTCACTTTAAAATGGCTGACAAGCTTAAAAGTGAGAGTTTTGTGGTGCTGAGAAGAAAAAGAGACTCATTTTAGATTTTCTATGTATTATTGAAGCATTTTCGACTTACGACCTGGATGTCGGTCCCTAACCCCGTCGTAAGTCAGGGAGCAGCTGTATACTGTAAACACCAAGGGAGTTTATAAACATCTTGTACCAAGCACGTGTCATACCTTTAAGTCCACTGTCTCCTTCTTGCCTTCGACCTCAAACCGAAGTTCACTGTCTGGATCTAATTTGAATTCCTTTTCAGTCATTTTGTTGATGTGTATGTAACCCAGACGAATCTGAAGAAAAACTTAATTATAATACAGTACAGTATTTAAGAACCATATCTGCTCATGATAAAAAACATATTACTGGTACAGTACAGTAATCATATACTGTATACTTTCACTTATTATCAGGTGTGCTGGCATTTATACAGTTGTTTTACTAAAAAAAACTTCCATATCTAATACAGTACAGTAATTGTAAATGAAAAAAAAAAAGTTCTGTAATCAGTGACATAAGGAGGAATACAAATGCAAAATTCCCATGGAGAGAACTTACTGTTCTAACATAAACTAAAAAAACACCAAATGTACAATCAGTCAGGTTCAATATTTTATTATAGTTGAATAAATAAATAATTTATGCAGTCCTAATACAATACTTTGCAATAATTGAGTTTTATTTTTGTACTCCTTAGTCTTGCTCACAAGAGAGCCATGGATACAGATTAAGTCCAAAACTACATGTAGGATATCATGTGACATCTTTGAAACTCAGGAGATACAATATACCCTTGATAATCTACACCAATTAAAATGATTTTGGGTTTAATTCAGAGTATATTTGGCCCAATCAAAATCGAATTTTATTTTGGGTCTCTCATATTTTGAAATTCAAGTTCAGTTCCGACCATGGAAGTCTGCGATGGATGTCACTTAAAGTATATGGAGCTGATTGCGAGTTTTTGGAAAAAAAAATTAGAAACTGCAGCATTTTTTCGATCGCATGGTGTTCTTCCAACCTCAGTAAAGTGTACTAAGAGCAAGACTGAATGTAAATATCGCAACGACCAACATATGTGGCGTTTTGTAAGAATCCCAGAATGCAACGACGAACAAGAACCAGGCCAATAAGGTAAGAAATAGGTGATTCCATCATAAGGTGAGAGTCAGGTAAGTTAGGTTAGGTTAGGTTTTTGTTTTTCTAGCGTTTTTTTGTGTATTTTTTAGTCGCTTAGCCAATTTTTTTTTCGTTAAACGTCAAACGAAAAATAATCGCTAAAAACCCCCGGCTAATTTCCGCCAAAAATGAAGGTCATGTTCGGTCTAATCACACACAAATACAATAGAAAAAATATATTTTTTACTTGCTAAAGGTGAACGGTGTGACAATGCAAATTTACCTTACAGAAAAGTACCATTTTCCTTTTCAGACATCAAATTAATGTACAACTTCGCTTTGAAGATGAGGGAAAATGTAGGGTTAAAAAATACCCACACAAATACCTGTAGAACCTTTGAGAACCTGACCTATCCAATTTCCCCAAAATTTTTACTTTATTTATCTGATGGATGCGCATACAGTGATTCGTTTATAGGCAACAAGTGAAGTAATACGGCTGGTTGTGTGTCGGAAATGGCATGGAAGGGGTGTTGGTGGTACAGTGTTTCCTGGGTGTTGGTGGTACAGTGTTTCCTGGGTGTTGGTGGTACAGTGTTTCCTGGGTGTTGGTGGTACAGTGTTTCCTGGGTGTTGGTGGTACAGTGTTTCCTGGGTGTTGGTGGTACAGTGTTTCCTGGGTGTTGGTGTTTCTGGTGTGGTGGTACAGTGTTTCTGGTGTTGTGGTACAGTGTTTCCTGGTGTTGGTGGACGTGTTTTGGGTGTTGGTGGTACAGTGTTTCGGTGTTGGTGGTACAGTGTTTCCTGGGTGTTGGTGGTACAGTGTTTCCTGGGTGTTGGGTACAGTGTTTCCTGGGTGTTGGTGGTACAGTGTTTCCTGGTGTTGGTGGTACAGTGTTTCCTGGGTGTTGGTGGTACAGTGTTTCCTGGGTGTTGGTGGTACAGTGTTTCCTGGGTGTTGGTGGTACAGTGTGGGTTTCTGGGTGTTATCCAGTGTGGCACAGGTTTTCTCCGGTACTGTACTCCGGCTTTTCCCTGTACTAATACTGAACAACAGGATTCATAACAAAGAACAAACTAATCGCCCGAAAGGTTAGTTAGCTGATATATGGTGAAATAATACAAAAATAAATATCGAATTTCATTGTTGGAATCAGGCCCTGATTTGTACACTACACATGAAAATTCACTGTATATAAAATTCGGTTCTAATCTAATTAAGGCTTCCCTGAATCTAGACATTATCGAATGTTATTATAATGCACAGTTACCTCTGAATAACCGGGATAGTTAACTTGTATTTGTCTCTCGGTCTCCTCGCATGTTGTCACTGTTGTGACCACAACGGACAATGCTAAATTTCTACCACGTACAGAATCATTAATCCATTACTTTCTAATCATATATTGAGTCAACTCAAATCTTATAAATCATATACTAACTAAAAGTACCTGAAAGTTGTTAGGCTCAGTTGAAATCGATACTAAGAAAAGAGAAAAATACAGCGATATTTTTTGCATTGTTTTAACATTAATCAACTTGCTGTTGCTTACTATCAAAATAAGACACCTTTAAAAAAGACTTAAAAATAAACAAATAATTGTTGAAACTCAATACAGTATTTTATACTTTGAATTTGTGTTAACCTATACTATTTTCCTGAATTATTTTATTAATCCTGATTCACAAAAGTACATAAAATTTATTGGTCGTGTCTTGACAAAAATAGCAAACAGAAAGATGGTTATACCACGAACAAGTCTCCTAAACCATTTACAATTGATGTCATATTTAATTTTTATTGCATCATGATTCACAATTAATACTTAAAAAACTACTTACGGGGTATATATTTAAAATATATTTAAACCAATATTGTCTAAACTCTAATCTAATCAAGACTAACCAGTAAGATAAACTGCCGAGGATCGGGTCACTCCCACGGCCAACGTGCAACTACATGGGTCTGTATTAATGCTCAACTGTATAACTACATAGCTTATAAACATGCTTATTCAATTATAAACCTGTATGACGATTTTAATGAATAAATATTATAATTGTTCCAATTATTCAATATCCCCGGGTAACTTAGGTGCCGTAGTAAGGGCACCTGTGTCCGGTGACCCCTTGATATTTTCAATCAGGTGACAGTTTATAGCATATCTCGGGACCTCCAAACGGGGAAGCACCTCACTTTTGAGGAGGGTTATGGGGGGTCGCGCCCAAGTTAGTGATCCTATATTACTTTTCCGGCCACTTGAGGTCACCATAATTCGACATACTATCCCGTGACCAAAATCCGAAGTCTAGCTCACAAAATGGTAAATCTGGTCCTGATAAATGCAAGTATAAGTGATAGCTTAGAGATGGAGTCAAAGGCTCAATAACCTCTTCCAAAAGTCTTCAGTGAGTATATTTAAAGAAATACATTAGTCCGTCGCTCAACCCGTGGTAGTTACCCAACAAGCGCCATCTTAGGTTCAGTTATTCGTCAGCACCGTCGACGTATAGAGAGTTCGGGACACACTCACTACATTTCGTCACATAAAAACGTCCATCACGGTTTTAGTTGGTTATTGTGGTAATCCTAATAAGAATACACCACCATGGACTTCAGTTATCTGTTAGAACTTGCTAAAAACAATGATAAGTCCAACAAAAAGGAGGTAAGAACTGAGGGCGGTGGTGGTATGTTGACAGTGCACTCAGCTGTCTATAACCTATTTTTATTCTCGTCGTACTACACTATATTTTATGAAGATAATATCGCTACATAATGAGTTGTTATATAGTAGCAAGTTATTGACTCAGTATTTAGGTATGGCATTACCTTTTTAAATGGGATTGTTTATTATGTCATACTAAGGTTGGTGGTCATGCCTCTACACATTCACTATTTAGGTATGGCACCCACTTTGATATTGTACCTACACCATATTTTATGATATTAACAGCATAGCATGTATTTTTATTAATTGTTAAGGTATTTATTAAATATTTAGATATTTGCCTTTATTTTATAGAATTACTATCATGCCACTATAACCTATTTCTGTTCCACTCTTCCAACAGAACAGTGCCATATTGTCACCATGTTACATATATTATCACCATATCATGTGTTTACTGTTTAGAGCAAGGTGTCCGTTACTTGGCAGACATGCACTATCTAGCCAGTTGGTCTAGGGCACAGGAGAGTTCAACATTACTGGTGAGAATGAATGTAAAAAATTATTGAACCTCCTGTTGTAATTATAATTTTACAAAGGGAGAATGTGTCTTTATTAGGTTTGCATAACTACCGGGTTTTATTATTATTAAGATTTTTCAGGAATGTAAATGTGGCTGGGGAGGAGGGACAAAACGACTTCAAATTTATGTAAGACGTGACAGTTATGCCTTTGATGAAATAACTAGCCTTTGTCTGAGAAGAAAAAGAGACCCAAATTTTCGATTTTCTGTGCTATTTAAGCATTTCTGACTTTACCATTTCGACTTGTGACCTGGATGTCAGTCCCTAACCCCGTCGTAAGTCGGGGAGTACCTATATATATATATATATATATATATATATATAATAATTATTAAACTAATTGACCAATTTTGTAACTTTGTTTATAAAAGTATTTCATGCTTCATTTTACAGTAATTGTCATAAGGGCTGTAGCTGTAGGAGTAGAGGATTTATGGTTAAAAATGCAAAATTTGACCTTTCCAAGTTCCATAAAATAACACAATTGTCAGGATTTGACATGAAATGACCCTGTCCACAAAACTCAAAATGCTTTACTCTCAATGCTATTTTAAGATGTAAACATTTATATTTTTTATTTATTTTTTTACTTTCCAGGCAGCAGTCAACAGGTTTTCTACAAAGGTCTCCAAACCCAAAAGGGTAGAAAAGGCAGCACCCAGACTGGAGGCCATACAGGCTGTGTTAAATAGAAAAGAAGAGGCAAAGCAGAAGGAAAATGAGGAATTTCGGAGGAAGAAAGAAGTAAGCTGTCTCAATGGAAGAGCATCTTAGGGCCTTTCTAAAAAAGGACCAGATATAGTGGAGGAACTTTAATTAGTCTGGGTTTTATATTTTGAGATACTGTACTGTATATTTCTTACCTGGGTGTGAAATTTTAAGTTTGATATCAAAGTTTTCTCATTTCATTATGGAAATATACTGTAAATATAAACACATTGTTGAACACAAATATATTTATCGCCACTCTTTTGACCCATTATCTACTACAAAGCAGGATGGCTAGAATCAAGAGTAGATATAGAATCTCCCTTCATTCTGTGTCATTTATACATTCTTACTGTGTTCTGCTACAGTGCAGTATACCCTTCCACAACAAGACCCCAATTTTCTTTTTGATATACAGTACTCCATCACCAGAAACCAGCTATTGCTTTGTTTTCTTATCTTACACTCATATCACTGTTTCTTGGATGTCCACCTTCCTCTCTCATAGCACATCCTTTACCCCAATCTTCCAGAGTTTTTTTCTTTCTCCATTCTGTCATCCAACTCTGGATTATACATTATTTTTATTAATGACATTATTTTTCATAATGAATTTGACATTACTGGTATTTTTAAAACCTAATTTTATCACAGAACTTGCTGGCTCTCAGGGCACAAGATAGGAAATCCAATCAGCGAAGTAAGCCATGATCAACAGAAATAAGGGAGCCTCCAAATCAGTACTGGATGATGCCAAGGTAAGTTATCAATGGTGTTAATGTGTTAAGCTTTTTCACTTAATACTGTGCTGAAATATGTCCTTAAAGTTAATGGAAAGATATATTATCTCTTCTAGACCTTTTAGATGTTTCCATGAGAGTCTTGATGATTTGAACTCTTGTTTTGGGTTTTTTTTCTCATTTGGGTAGCCACTGACCTTATTTAATCTATGTGGAATGACCAGAACCAAAAATATTGCAGTAAAAAATAAGTCTTCTACTTTGAATTCAATATTGATACAACTGGAGGTGAGATTTGAATGGGACTGCATTTGAGTGGTCAGTGATCTTTCCTGAGTGACCATGGGATCATGTTTCGACAAAGTAGTTTTTACTTATTAGTACTTTCTGCTGTGTATAGATTTAGAAACATATTTGTGTATACAGTACTTGCATTGTCTGTGTTGAAGAACATATTGGTTACTTCATATACTGTTTTGTGTGTTTATTTTGTATTGTTAAAGAGAAAAACAAATTGGCTGTTTCATTTTGTATTTGTTTTACCTAAATACAGAAACCTACCTCAAGCATCTTTGTGTTTGTAGGACATAACTACTGCCAAAGGTGAGGAGCAGTGTGATGAGGATGACTATGGCTATGAGTCCACTATGAGCCAGACCATTTTCAGCAAACTAGCTAACCAGTATGCCAACATGCCAGAGGATGACAAATTGAAATTTGTCAAGAATTCTGGCAAAGGTAACATAAATGACATCAAGGTGAGTGAAACCTCAGATAATGAGCAATTGGTTGCGTATTATGATGAAGTAAGCACAGATAGCTCTGCTTTAAACTCTTTTCATGATCAGTGTTGTTTAAACACTTTCCATACAGTATATGTACTTGTTTCTACACATTGTGAATATTTGTTTAAATAGTATTAACAAGTATGCTTTTTAAACACATTCCACAAGCATACTTGTTTTAATAATTTTCACTTGAGATGCTAACTGTTCTAATGATGTATGTTTTATTTTAGAGCAGGGTTATCAACACCTTAAAGAAGGAAGAAGAAGATGAAATGACTCCCAAGAAACGAAAGCGGAAAAGCAAGAGCCAAATTGAATTTGATGATTTTATAAATGATGGTGATGCATATGATAGAGCTCCAACTAAATCTGAGCTGAATAGTAGTGCCCCATCTTCTTCCAATCAAAAAATTGTTAACATTAATCTCACCAATTATAAGAGTGACAAGCATAATACCTTCAAATATGATAGAGATAAGGAGAAGGACAGAGAGGGGGATAAGGACCGTGGAGGTAATGACAAGCATAAAAAACACAAGGAAAAGAAGAAATCAAAAGCAGCACCACCACCAATGAGTTTTGAAGAGCTTCTTAAAGTTGCTCGGAAGAAACAAGCTCAACCAATTCTAGATGTCAAAAAGAAGAGAAAAAGAGAAAGAGAAGGAGAAGCAGAGAGACGTAGGGCGGCCGTTAACAGCCAAAGAGAAAGAGGAGCTGGAAGAAGAGAGAAGGCGCAAGTTGAAGAGAATGGGAAAGTTGCCCCAGGAAAAGAAGGAAGTGAAGACCAAGGAAACGGAACCAAAGGGAGATTCAGACGATTCACAAAAATTGAAAAAGAATGATGAAAAGAACAAAAGTCAGAAACTTCCAGCAAATTACAACAAGCCCTAGAAAAACCCAAGCCAGAACCTAAAGTAATTGACAGAAACAAGTATTTTGCAGCTCCAGCTGGCCAGAAGAATCGTGATCCTCCACAAACTAAAGAATCCAAACCTTTACCGAATTCCAAGTCATCAGTTCCCAAAACTCAGAACTCTACAAATAAATATACCCCATCAAAGGACATCAAGCCTCAGAAGTCAAAAGATTTTCCCACAAATGAAGTTAAACCATCAAAGCCACAAAATTATACTCCAAAGGCTAAAGTGCGAGATTTCCCACCACCAGACTTGCATAGAAGACCGGCCTACAGTGCTGCTCCTAAAAGACGTATTGAGAGGATTCTGAAGAATATGATTCTGAAATGGATGATTTTATTGATGATGGTGAACAGGAAATGGACTTCTCCAGCGAAATCAGAAAAATGTTTGGATACGATAGGAATAAGTATAGGTAAGAATCACATGGTAGATCTTGCTTAATCTGTGTATTTTCTGCCTGAAATTAGCCAATCCACAACCCTTTGATATTTAGTACAGAATGCGCATAACCCATGCCTTCCACACTCTAGAACCATGTAAAGTATAGTAGTTTAAAGTGTTTTTATGGGGAAATTCAGCATTCCTCAACTACACATTTTAAATGGCATAAATATACCATACTGTATAATGCTATTTCATAATGAGTATATGGTAAAGTATATACAGTATGTACTACAGTATGTGGATGTACTTTAGGTTGTATAGATCTTAATCTGTCTACACTTTTTCTTTGGGATACTTTTTTTGTTTCATTTGGTAATCAATTCATAGGATAAATATCAGGTTAGTACAGTACAGTACTGTACTGTTAGCTGCTACTAATAAATATGATTTTCTTCAGGAAGGCTCAGTTAGCACATTTAGTGAAAATAACAGTTATTTGGGTGTTTTTAAGTTAATTTTTGAGTAATAGGAGTGGATCATTATTCCACTTTATCAAAGGAGCAGTTGATTTACAATCCTCAGAGTCAGTAGGAACATAACCTTGCAGATTGGATGATATAGTGTATGTGGAATGTGTTTATTTTTTCCTCGTAGTGATTCTGTTTTGCTAGTAATGAATGGTGAGAATGCCTTGGAGAGAGAAGTTTAAAGACACTGGTTGAAAATATTGGTGAGATTCCATTAACAAACTATTGTAATAGTTATTGTTGGAACCTGATATTGCCTTTGTCACAGAGTGAAACAAATCTGATCCGAGTTATTCTTCGATGTAGTTATTAGTATAGCAGATACTGCAATGCATCAGTCTTTTCCTCACATTTGAAACCCACCAAGCTGTGGAGAATCACAAGCTCATTTTCTTTTCTTAGAGCATTCTTGACTAGTACATTAATGTCAATGGTGGATAGTTTGACCTGTGTTTCAAATGCAATCATTAACTGATAATTTTCATATTAGTTTTCTGCTGTTTATATAATTTACTATTTGCCACTTGTCTTAGTCACAGAAACAAAACTACATAATCAGCGCAACACTGACCAGCTTGAAATTTTGAAACAAAATACATTTAAATTATTGTAAAACACTTTGAATATGTTTGGGGGTAGAAAACTAAACATATAAAATCAGATATGCTTTAGTGATGAGTGGTTTGATGGAGTGGGCATTGATTTATCTGGTTACTAGCTAAATCATGGTGGAAGTTGCTGATGTACAGGGTAAATAACAGTAATTATATTACAGACATTATCTCTTGATTGCTAGAAGCAAAATATGCTAATGGCATGATTGAATACAAAGTACTTATTTGGAAATTAAATATTGAGTTGTTCACCATAATTGTATAATTTTAGCTACTTCAAAATGTTAAATTTTGCAGGAGGAAGGAATAACTGTATCATAATATACACGTACTGTATGTTTATAGAGTACTGTTTCTAATTGTGTGTTTGTATATTACAGGGATGATGATGATGACTGTAATGACATGGAAGCATCTTATGCTCAAATGCAAAAAGAGGAGAAAATATCAGCCAGAATTGGACTTCAGGAGGATCTTGAAGATATACGACGAGAAGAGGAGGAAAAGAAACGCAAGATGGTGCGGTTGAAACAGATGAAGACGTCCAGAAGATGAGGACAAGCATGAGTGAACTTATGAGTACAGTATATAAATATAAGGTATGGTTATGTAGCTGCACTTAATCTATACATATATACACAGTTTTTATGGAAGCTGCTGCTCAATACGGTGACGTTATTTAGGTATTTAATAAAATGGTCCATAATTGAAGTTGTTTGATTGTCAAATCAGTCATATGATCAGTGAAAAATAGTACTTGAATTTAGGTTGTCATGGTATAATGAGTAAAATTTCATATGTTAATCCTCTTGAGTAACTCATTCAAAAAGGTTTGAAGCAGAAGACTCACAAAAGTAAGTTATTGACTGCTGACCAGCAGATGATCACTTTACATCTAGGGATTACAAACTGATCATGTAATGCCATTGGAGGCAGAATGAGCTGGAGTATAATTTATTGGAATTAGCATGCTAAAAATAAAAACTTGTAAATTCTAGATGTTGTGTAATCACACCTTTTCTGTGGTAGGCAATGAATTTGGTTGGCTACCAGTTGTTACTGACAGTCACTTTAATTTATATTATTTCTTTGTTTTGGGATGGTGAGGATTATTATACTGTACTTTAAGCCTTTTGTATAAAACTTTCTTAATTTTGGAATGGACTAGTTTATACAGATTGGTAACTTCTGTCTAATATTATTATTTTTTTAAAATTCTTTCATATGAAATTTTAGCCTATCATCACACTTTACTAGAGTTCATTTTGGTAACTTTTGGATTGTCTACCAATAAGTCTCTTTTTCTAGAGAAAACATTTATTCAGGGGCCAATCCAGGAGGTCCTAGGGGTGCAGAAACCCCCCCCCCCTTTTCTTCAGAAAATTCCAATATCCCGCTAGCCGGTACAATTGGTGCAGAGCACTTCTGGGAATGAGAGATTCGGTAACAGGACGACTCTCTCAAAGCCAAAAATCCTCATCCCCGGAATTTTCCGGGTAACGGAAAAATTTTCTCGGAAGTTCCAGAAATTGCCCATTACAGTGAACCCTCGAAGATCCGGACTAAAAGGGGGGACCACCTGTCCGGAAAAGCCGATTGTCCGAATCTTCCGGCGAATGTACTAAATGTATAAAAAACAACAAATAATTATATAAAAAACACTAAAAATACAGTACATATTATCCTGATTACTGGCGTTAGTTATACACACCCTTTCCTGTGAAAAAGCCATAACATACTACACTAAAGGACTGTATTTTTATTTTTTGCAAAATATATAATGTCTATATTCAAATTATTCGCTCTCTTACAAGGATTCCAGCAATGCAAGTTATATTCTGCTAAGTTTAGTCTGTGACATTTTATAAGAAAAAAACTTAAAGCCTAAAACTACCTGTACCTTCACCCCTGGGAAGGGGGAGGAGAGGTGTTGACAGCCAGGCAGGAGGGAGGAGGGGGGTGAAGTGAGGTATTAACCAGCTGGCGGGGAGATTACCCAATGCGTAGTTATCAGTCATGTAGAGGGAGTTTAGCAAGTTTTTCGCTTATAAAATATCACTGAATTGACTTGGGAGACTATAACTTACATTGCTGGAATTCTTGTCAGTTAGTAATTAATTTGAATATAAACATGCTATAGTTTGCACTAGACATAAAAAATTTAGTAATTATTTAGTACAGTTGAGTACAGTACAGGTTTGCCCTTACGACAATTATTTCTTTTACTTTTTTCACAATACAGTATAGTCTCGATTTACGCGGTTCTGGTTAACGCGTTTGGTCATTTATGCAGTGCCTTGCCAGAATGTAAATGCTTTAATTACGCGGTAAATTTGGTCATTTATGCTGCGAGGTCCAACGCTCCACGCCATTTTTTATTCAAGCATTCCATTCTACTACATATGCGGGAAGCCGCGCGGTGAATGGTGCGCATTAGGTCAGTTTACGTTATCGCTGACGTCATATGACGTATCGGACTGTAATTGGGCCACGCATCCTTACCACCCACGCATTCCCTCCGCCGCTAGCTGTGATTGGCCTAATGTAACATGACGCGTCCCTGCCACCAGAGGGTAGAAGTCGCTGACCTAGCAGGGCCTGTCTCATTGTTCTCAGTCCGCTGCGATATGCTCCTCTGTGCCCGCTTCCTCTCACAACTCACAATGGCTTCCGCGACCCCCACCACGAGAGAAAACATTGAAATACCTGACCAAGCCATGATAATGTGAAGGAAATCATCAAGTTGGGGGAAAAATTAAGCTCATCCTGAATGACCCAGACAAGCATCGGTATGAAGCGCCTAATAACCATCTGACGAAATTTATGGAGCCGTGATATCCAGATCTATCTCAACAACATCAATGCTAGTCGTCAACGTAGTATTGAGGACTTCTCGCCCAAGAACCCACCATAACCACAGCCAGCCCGGCCAGTGAATGTGATATTGACAGTGAGGATATGGACTTTGAGAGGTTTGTCTGGGAGGCCTTGCAACCCTGCGAGTAGTGAAAGTGTAAGTGATTCACCGGAGGGCAACTAATCTGCCCTCTGCCTCGGAACCAGCTGCCATCCACATGTGCCGACCCAGCTTTTCTACAAACTCAAGTGTTAAAAAACCTAATATTATTGATATTTCTCTTAATTATTAATTGTGTGTGCATACCATCATAAAATTAAGATGTTATTTTTACTACAACATAGGTATTGTGTCGGAAAAAGTGGAGTTTGGGGGTCGGCTCAGTCTCTATTTCAATTAATCCCATATGTTCTGTTATTTCATTTAAGCGTTTGCCGTTTTACGCAGGCCTCCACGGGTTCAATTGACCGCGTAAATGCAGACTATACTGTATGTATTTAGGATGGTGTGTGCCTGTAAATGAGTAAAAATAAATGAAGAAAGTTACGTATATCTACCCAAAGATACGAGTTGAAAAATGTGTACTTAAATGTACTACAGGTACACTAAAGGACTAAAATTTTTATCTCTTGTGCAAAATATATGATGTTTATATTCAAATTATTCGCTGTCTTGCAAGGATTCCAGCAATGCAAGTTATATTCTGTTAAGTTTAGTCTGTGATATTTTATAAGATAAAAACTTTAAGTCTAAAACTACCTTCACCCTATTTTGGGAATGCTTCTTAGCCCAAAACCCCCCAATTTTTTGTCTGAATCTTCCGAAATCCTGATTTACCGGGCCCAGATCTTCGAGGGTTTACTGTACATCATCTCAAACCCGGAAAAAATGTCCCTCTTTTCCCGAATTTGTGGGTAACGGAAAAATGTTCTCAGCGGTTCCGCAAAATGAACCTGATTTTCATCTCAAACCTGTAAAAACTCCCCATCCCCGGAATTTTCCAGGTATAGTATCGGGAAAATTTTCTCTTAATTTTCCGATAAAATTTCAATTCCGGCTATCATAGAGTTCCGGGTTTGAGGGATTCCAGCTAATGGAGATAATGTACTGTATTACTATATTTTCTTTAATGCAGTACAGGTCATTGTAATTGGGCGTTTTGTTTTAATAAAAGTAATTACTATTGACATTACAATATACCCCCCACCCCCCAAAAAAAAAAAAAGCTGATGGGCTTGGTGTGTTTGCCATGTTCTCACCACCCACAACTTTTGGACCCCCCACCCTTGATATTCCTGGATCTGCCCCCGTTATTCCTCTTGAACAAATATTGAATGTTCCAAATTTTCTTATCACAGTTTACGTGATTTGAAATTTAAGAGTTAAATCAGTATTCACAAGAGTCTGCTTTACTAAATTCTATCCAGCATTTGTCTGCTCAGACAAATGATGATTTATTTTCACACGTTCCTGTAAATATCTACTTTTTCTTTGTCTTATATGCAGGTATGATTGTTGAATCTTGTGTCCCAATTTTCTTATTGTTAAGAAGGTAATAATACCAATACAGTATTTTGTTTTATGGATTTTCCTGGATAATTTGGTATTATGACTGGATTATGTACACACTTAGGAGTCTATGTAATTCTTGATTGGTTTAAGAAATATGTATAATACTTATTGAAGCATTTTTTCCACCAGCCTACCAGCCAGGGTCAGATCCAGGCAACAAAAATTTCATCTTCACAAGAAACCATGGAGTGTGGGTGGCATACATATCCGAGACCACTTGTGTGACGATATAGATATTTAAATGTGGTTAAAATTTTGTAGAAATACCTGTATCTAAATTTACCTATTTGTGCAATCTGAAGTGGGCTGGGTCTCACCCCATTTGTATTCTGCTTTCACAGTTAATATTATCATGCCTATTATCATGTAATATTATTTGAATGCCATTTCCTTAATAAACAACATTGTAAAAAGGTTTAACATTGAAAATGGAATGCCTTAAAGAATATATATATATATATATATATATATATATATATATATATATATATATATATATATATATATATATATATATATATATATATATATATATATATATATATATTATTGTTTTTCTCATAACAAAGTTATTTAATACAGTAGTTGTCCAGTATCCTATTATTGTGTCCAAGGAATATTTATGGAAGATTTGTGAAGCAATGCAGTGTTAAGTAAGGCATGTAATTATGCTCTTAAAGTCACTGTAATACTGTACAGTATAATATTTACTGTTTGAATAAATTGAGCAGAATATGTACTGTATTGTATAATGAGAAATATACAGTATAGAATTTGTTAGAAACTCTGGTTGATTTTCCATGTTATTTTATAAATAACCCCATTACTCATGTTTATCTATTTTGTTGATCACTCGGCTGTACTGTATTTTATTAAAAAACAAAATAATAGTGTCATTAAGAGTGGTAGTGCACATGAGTAAAGGTAGCCTGGACAAAACTGGTTGTTGCCTTAGTGTGCTTCTGTTTGCATAAAAACTTGTTTTTCAGAGTACTGTATTATAATGCACATTCTTGAGAGTCTATTATAGTTAGTTCAGATTTTATGTATAGTTTATTACATTTTTTTTAAATTTCTAATTTTCATGAAATACTGTATACTGTGTATACACACTACTTTATTTAGAAAGCATAATATAGTTTTATTTTAACCCATTCTTTAACAAATCATCAATTTTGGATTTGCTAGTTAATATATGGTTGCCTGTGCCACCATTGTGTTTAACCCTTAGGCCCCAGGTGACGTTCCAGAACGTCCGACCAGCCTCGTGACAATTTAGAACGTCTGCTTTTTTCTTCTTTTTTTTTCATTTTTTTAAGATTTATCCCCACGGGGGGAGGGGGTTACTGCCAGCAGCACCTAACCCGGGGTTTAAGGGTTAAGAACCATTCAGTTTTCCATTTGACTAATATTGATATAACTGAGTGTTATGACCAAAATGCTGGGGAGATTTTGCCAGTTTGTATCTTTATGGGTTACCATCATGCAACATAAATGTTATAACAATGATGATGGTGTGATAATACCAATTTGGATCTTCATTGGTCACCATCATATAGTGAATATACAGAATATTATAAGTGTATAAAGTAAAACTTTTGTCATTCAGTAAGGTTGTCACACATATTTCAGTACGGACATTGTATTAGAAGTAAAGTCTGTCAATGGGTCAGTATAGATTTATCTCCTTATTCTCATGGTTATTCATTTTGTCTTGCATTGAGAATACAGGTTGTACCCCTCTAGTCCGGCAACCTCGGGACCTGACCGGTGCCGGACCATGGAAATTCACCCTTTTCCTGGATAGATAGTGACTTGTGCTTATGCCTGGAAGCACTAGCACCACTTTCTCTGCATCATGGTCTCTTTGAAGACATATTGAAGGGTTAAATGTCGTATAGTAGCTTCTCAAATTTCGCGAGTTTTTAATTCTTAACGTATTTTATTGGAACACACAAAAAAATAAATGAAAAAAAATTTTGACGGCGGAAACTTGAATTTCGACGAGTTTGAACGGCCCGCCAACGTGCAGACGACTTGCATAATCGTGTAAACAGCGTCATTTCTCTTATGTACAAAAGATTCATTATTGTTTATTACTGAATGTCTTTTTTATTGAATTAATGTTTGTGTGCAAAATGAGCAATACAATTCATTAATAATACGTAGAATATTAAAACGCATGAGGAAATGACAGCATTGTATTCGTTGATTACAAAACCAGTGACTGACTGGTTCTACATATAAAACTGAAGAAAATAAGACCTTGGTTGTAGCTGTAGTAAAATTAATATGGTTGTTTTAAGTAATGTTATTAATGTTAATAAATGGAACAATAGAAGTAGCTAACGATAATGGTAAAGAAAAAAGAGAGATCGCATATGTAAGTGAAAATGCGCACACGTGAAAACATATCATTACTTTACATAAGAATATGAAAGCAACACTTATTTACTGTTCATATATATTTTAATTAATGTTTCTGAATTTGTTTTTATTGAATTAATGTACGTGTGTGCAAAATTAACAATACAATTTATTAATAATACATGGAATATTAGAGGAGACGAGACGGCTGCCGGCATTGTTTATGTTAAAGCTTACGAAACCAGTGACTGATTGGTTCTACATATAAAACTGAAGAAAATAAGACCCTGAGTTTAGCTGTAGTAAAATTAATGTAAAAAAATGAATAAGGTTGCTTGAAGTACCTGTAATGTTATTTAATGTTAATAAATGGAACAATATAAGTAGCTAACCATTAATGGTAAAAAAAAAAGAGACTGCTCGTATGTAAGTGCGCACGTGAAAATATATCGTCATTACTCTACATAAGAATATGAAAGCAACACTTATTTACTGCTCATATATATTGAAGGGTTAAATGTTGTACTCTGTATAGACAAGCAGAGAGAGAGAGAGCATCCGAACTGCCGGATGTAAACAAACCTTAATTTCCCACGGCTTTTTTTTTTTTTTAAGGGGATTAGCCCACCCGGGAATAGGTCACTGACCCACATTAGGGCCTGAGGGGCAAAAATTTAATACTCCTGTAATAATAATAATAATTCAGATAAAAAAAATAAAAATAAATAAAATATACAGGTTGTACCTCTCTAGTCCGGCATTCTGTGGTCCGGAACGATTTTAGTTTGTCCAATAGGGAGATAGGCAGCTTTTTTTAAGCTGCCTATCTATTGAACAAACTATGTCGTTCTAGAAATACTGACTTCGGCCTATGTTAAGAGGAAGGCGTTAAACATAATGGATTTGGGTAAAAAATAGAATATGAATAAGCTTGTAAATTATATTAAAACATTATAAAGAGTATTGATATACTAGAGGAGGTTAATGATTTATAATGTTTAGGAATTATTTCAAGTAAGAATGGTATGAAAAAGAGTGAGATTGGAGACAGAACAGCACATGGAAGGAGGATGATTGGAGAACTGAGAAGTATCAGGTAAAGGAATGTAAGCTTGGAGGTTTAAGAAAGAATGCATGAGATAATATAATACTTTTTACCTTAAATTATGGAAGTACATTATGGACTTGCAATGTTAAATTACTTCAAAGCTACATCTGGGGGTAACTAGATTGGATGTGGTAAGAAACAGTGATGTGTTTTGAGTGGCAGAGAATGTAAATACCATCACCCCATAGTGGTGGTATTGGTAAAGATAGGTTTGTTGAGATGGTGTGAATGCGTGAGAAGGATGGCAGAAGAGCAATGAAGCATGTGCACTGGGTAGGAGGAGACTGCCTACTTCATGAAAGGGAAAGGTGGAATAATTCAATAAGGAGAGGACAGGGTTGGGGATAAAAGGAATAGAGAGGGCACAGAAAATATGTAGTGATAGGGATGTGTGGGACTATCTGTCATGGCCACCCTCTCAGGGGAGCACCCTGGAAGAGTGAAGTGCAAAAGATAAGAAAACAAGATCTGTCACTGCCACATCTAAAGTAGAGTGCAGTAAATAGTGTTCAAATGATTACTTTCCTCTGTTGGGGGTTAGTGCAGAAACACTTGCTTGTAACCTACTGTGCTATAAAAATGGGGAAGGATACTTTCTTCTCCAAGCATACACAAAGTAACTATAAGAATGAGTGAAGATATCCTTTCATTTGGGTAATGGTAAATGAAAAATGGAAATGTGTGTTCAAGGGTTAATGTGAAATTTGTTTTACATGTTGAGAGTTAGTGGCATTGCAGTACAGTATTGTACTGTACTGTTCATGTGCTCCATGACCTTAGAACAAGAATGGTAGTAAGTAGACCAGTAATTATTTTAAGTTCCACGCTGGTAGAGTTTCCATGAGTGACCTTCAATAAATGGTTTAAAGTTTTTGAATATGAATATATTTTTTTTAGTGCACTAATTTTTCTTGCAATTTCAAGATTAATTACTCTTGCTCTGGAAAAAAACAACCATTTAATCTGTTTAATCACTTTTGTGTGGAGGCATATAGTACCCATAATGTGTAAATACTGACTTTGTACAATCTGGATTGTCATGTTATAAGTTATCCATAGCTGACACTTATTCCTCTTAAATTATTAATAATTTTACTGACCACTCAGCATGTATAGACCAAACTAATGCATTTGACACATACAGGTACTCCTCGACTTACGACCGCCGCAGTCGTATAAAATATTTTTCAAATTACGTATTTTTGAGTCTACGTTAGTGATCGTGCTGTGTACTGACAAAAATTTTGTTTGTAATTCCCTTTAAAATGGCTGGCAAGCGTAAAAGTGAGAGTTCTCGTGGTGCTGAGAAGAAAAAGAGACACCCATTTTGATTTTCTATGTATTATTTTCGCATTTTTGACTTACGACCTGGTCTTCGGTCTCTAACCCCATCGAGGACTGACTGTATTCCCTTGTAATACCCGATCCTTTGTGTGCTCTGAACTAATGTGATGTTAACTTTCACCTGAAATGTAAATAATTTAGTGTAATAAGAGAGGAACAGCAACAATGAATGTACAGTAGTACCCCGCTTAACGCGGCCAATAGAACCCACAGGGTACCGTGTTAAGTGAAAACCGCGCTAAGTGAACAACAGAACATATGGGATTAATTCCAATAGAAACTGGCCCGACCCCCAAACTCCACTTTTTGACGACACACAACTATGTTGTAGTAAAAATTTTATCTTAACTTTATGATGGTATGAACAAACAAGTAATATAGAAGAGGTTAGGTTAGGAAAAATAAAGGTTAAGTTTGGAAAAATAAAGGTTAGGTTAGGAAAACTAAAAGTTAGATGTAACACTTACGTTAGTAGAAGACACACACTGCGCAACCTTAAAGCGCGGCTTGCCCAGGCGGAGGGAGAGGCAGGCAGGCGGGTGGCGGGAATCTAAAAATAGCGTCTCGAGCCGGACACACTGCGCGTATATGTGGAAAAAACCCGCATTAAGTGAAAATTCGGCTCTGGCGAGGCACCGCGTATACGTGAAATCGCGCTAAGTGAAACCGCGTTAAGCGGGGTATTACTGTACTATGCAGAATGTATTTAACATATTGTGGGTTTCTCAACTTGATTTAAATTGATTTAAAGGCCAAGTGGCAGTCTATTGGTGTTCTCTGGCTGCACTGTCTAGCCATGCCTCTTTAACTGCTCCATTTCCTACACCTGCCAGTAAGACCTTTCGTTTTAGCACTTTTCATATCCTCTTCCCAAGATACTGGCTGCCTTCTCATCACCCCTAACCCTGTATACTTTAAGCTTTACATGCTGACCTACACAGTCATTGGATATCCTTTGTATTATTTAGTCAACTTTAACCTTGCCCTAACTGCTGAGCTACATGTGCATGTACTGTACAGTATAATGGCAACAAAATATGTAAAATTAAGTTATTACAGCGGGCTGCATGTACAGGGTTAAAGGGGATTCCCTTCACCAATTGAGGTGCTCCGCATTACAAGGGGGTAAAGCGCCACCCCGGGTAAAATGTGTCTTTTTGATGGATATCACTATTTTCACCCTTCTACATGTTGGCGTTGGATGTAACCCCCTAGGTATACTAGAAATATGATTGAAAGTCCTTCAAAAATAGAGTGTCATTTCGCCTCAGGCCAGGAGTTACGTATCTGGTTGTGTGCTCAGTAAGTAA